AAGTCTGACACATGTTTGCTGAGTCTCTAACTTTTATTTGAATTTTCTCTAAAAATGTATTAGTTGGTTTTCATGCTGCTTTTTTGTTTTGACTACAATGTGTACATAAAGTTTGCTGCTTATCTTCGCTTTTGTATAGAAAACGAGTTGGAGAAAAACAACTGAATGATAAGATTAACTAAAGATCTAAGCACTGTCTATTTGTATATTAAAGTAGAATTATTTATTAAAATTGATGTAATTATCCTTAAATGTGTGTTGTCTTTATTGTTAGTAGTTATCCATATAAAATAAATTGCTTTATTGTTTAACAATGTTCAGCCTCAAAGGTTATTTATACAACCTTGTACATTTTTACCCAAATCTAATTTAGTAAATTAAATCAGATAGAAGAAAACAGTTCCAATATAAACACTGTATATGTTGTTCTAGATACAACTATAAATATATTTTAAATTCCACGAATCAGATGCAGGAATTTCAGCTGGTGTTTTCCAGTTTTAATATAACTTTATTGTCCTGAATTAAGTTTTAGCTTTCAGGGAAACTACCAGCATTCGAGTGGAATGTGTATAATCGGCTGCATTTAAATTGGCTGATGTATAGGGACTTTCTATAAGGATTCTCTGCATGCCAAGTATTTATCAGGCTTCTCTCGTCTTCAGATGAGTCTCTCTCACCATGTGTGCAACATAGAATAATGAAGTGTAAATGACTCGGAGTCAAGATGCCGTTTTGCTTTGAGTCAAACTAAAATTGAAGTGAGAGCATGCATGTTGCTCATCAATGTGCTCCTATTTCCTCCACAGGTTTACGTTGAATGTTAAAAAAAACTGCTAACACAGAATCAGATCAAATCTGTTGAACATATGAGTAACGTAATGTAGATTCTTGCCAACTACATTGTCCCTCAAACTTTTTATCGTGACATAATCATTTCATTGCCACAGTAGCAACATGGGTAGTTATTCGCAGTAGGGGAAAGTAACTGGGCACATTTACTCCAGAGCTACTTTATATTCCATTACATTTCAAAGGAAAATTGTTCAACAGTGGTGAAAAGTTACTAAGTACATTTACCCAAGTATTAAACTTAAATACAATTTTGAAGTACTTGTGCCTTACTTGAGTATTCCCATTTAATGCTACTTTATAGTACAATTTGGATTCAAATATATATATATGTTCTATTCAGTTACTTAGCTTAAATTAATAGCTACTCTGCAGGTTAGAGATTCAAAATAAATGATTATAGTCTAGCCGCCCATCAGCATGTAAAGTAATTCAAATAACCCCAACCTGTACCAACAGCAACAATTAAGTCATAAACAGTTGAATACATTGTGTACATATTATACAATCATGTTGTATTCTAAAATGGGCCATTCTGCATTCATACTTTTACTGTTGTACTTAAACTATATATTGTTGCTAAATCTTTTTTTTTTTTAAACCAAGGTCCAATGTTGAATGCAGGATTTTAAATGTTTTTCAAAAATATTATTTGAACACGTTAGTAGTAGTGATGTTACGTATTGCGCCGAGTCTTCGGAGCGTGTGTCGAGTAATCCTGGAAGTTTTTTGTGAAGCTTGTATTGAGGCTTGTATCGTTTTGGGCCAGTGACGTCATCGATGACAAACGAAGCCTCGCTGGCCCTCAATACCACGTGACTGCTTCAGAAAGTGCTTTAGATCGGTTGAAGCACAACGCTCATATTACCCATGGATGTATAATAAGAACGATATTACCCTTCCTGTACCCGGGCCCGGTGACACGATGGAATTAAGAGAGCTCAGACCCTCACTTATATAGAGGTTGGAACATGTCATATGTATAAATAAATAAAAGCATAAATAAATGTAGGAAAAAAACATAAATAAATAAATACAGGAATACATACAGGAATAAATAGGGTGCAGTGTTTTCAGGTAGACTCAGTGTGTGGGCTGTGGCTCAAGAAAGCAGTTGACTCACAACCGCAGGGTCCCTGGCAGGGACGTGCACAGGTATGAGCTATTGTGGGGGGGGGGGGGTTTAGAGCTCCAGTTTAGAGCAATAGCCCCTCCAAATGTCTGTGCACGTCCCTGGTCCCTGGTTCAACGACTGGTCAATAAGTATTTTTTGTTTGTGTATACAGCTAAATGAGATAATGTAGTTAATAAATGTATTCTTTGATATGGTTTAGCCTTTCTCAACATGGTTACGTTTACGAATATTATTAAGGAATACAAATCCCTCTTTGCAATGTTTACCAGCCTCCTTAGGCTTTTCAATCACAATCATTAAACTGGAATAAATACAATATTGTTAACATGAAAATATGATTTTATGTTCGTTGTTCGTTATTCTAAGGCTTTACTCATTGGGCACTCGGTATGAGATACAGCACACTATTGAGATGTCAAATCTGCCTGTTTTACACACTTTGACCAACAGGAGGGTTTGTGTTCAAATGAAGCCCATGATGAAGCCTCATGAAATGATCCCTTTTGCGAACCAATTGGCTTCACCATCACTAGTTAGTAGGCCTCTTGCTACTTTAAGTAAAACAACTAGTACTAGTAGGATTCTTCTTCCACCTTTGCCCCCTTGTTTACATCATGTTATTTATTTTTGCTTTTTTTCAACAGAACAGAAGCAGTGGAGGATTTTAGAGTCAATTGTTATATTTTCTCCACCTTTTAATAATCAGGGTTTAAAACAATATTTGACCCTTTCCCGCGCATTCATTTCGAGTATGGCGCACCTTTGTTTTGCATCTGTTTTCCCCTCTAATGTGTATGTGGTGTTTCGGGACGTTGGCGCGTGGAACCGAGCGACCACTCGGCCACTCTCGGTTATCTCCGCAGTGACGTCACCGGCAGAGATGAGCTGCTCCCATAGAGGCTGCTCCTCGGCTTTTCCCTCCGCCATGAGGAGCTCAACGTGACAGCCCGCAGGTACAGAGGCTTTACTGCTATCAGCACAGCGCTTAGGAGCTATACAAAAAACACACAACAAAGCGAATGTCATCCCGCCGCAGGTGCACGTGCCACACAGCGAGAGGGCACAGTATTAAATTACAAGGCTTTACAGAGCGCGTGACACATGCCCTGGCTGCCACACACTCAATGTGGAAATAATTCGCTGCAATAAAACACAAACATGCATTAAAAACATTATTGTTTGAATCATTTTGTGAGATTATAATAGATTGTATGTGTTATGTCGGCCTAATGTTTATTGGTAACGTTATATTAGGAAAAGTGAGCAAAGTATTGCGTCTCGTCCGTTCAATTAAACATAGAGAAAAATAAAAAACATATATTAAAATAATTAAAAGTAGATATTTTAAGTGCACAGTGTTTATAAAAGACAATCATTGGACATATTATAAGACTAATAGTATCGTCAGTTGTATTGTTGTTGTTGAATAGTTATTTGCTTTATGAAAAACACTTATCAGGTGGTTTAAAGTTCATATATTATTAATGCAATACAAAACACAATACAAAATACATTTGTTATAATAAAACATTTAAAATGAAACAATAATTATTAATTAATGTACCTGTGCTGGACTATGGTGATTTGATGTATATGAATGCACCTGCCCATTGCCTGGAAAAGTTAGATGCCGCCTATCACAGTGCCCTGAGATTTGTTACTAACTGTAAAGCACTTACTCATCACTGTACCCTGTATGCCAAGGCAGGTCTGCCTTCTGTACGGAGGCTCAGTCATTGGTACATGTTCATTTACAAAGCCATGTTGGGTAAACTACCTTATATCTGCTCTCTGATCTCTCGACGAATTGAAAGTACGTATTGCCTGAGATCTCATGATGTTGTTTTATTAAATGTGCCAAGTGCTAGGACTGTCTTAGGGAAGAAAGCTTTTAGTTGTGCAGCTCCACTAACTTGGAACAGTCTGCAAACATGTTTAAAACTGAGCACTTTGGTTCCCCTGCATCATTTTAAAACTCGGCTGGGTGACATGCTGTTTGATACTCATGGTACCTGTCTCTGTGAATAGAGTTTGTAAACTGTACCCTGTACATTATGTTGTATGTCATCCTTATTGTTGTTCTGTTGTTTTTATGTTACATGTGTAACTAATGTCCTGCAGGTCACCCTTGAAAAAGAGATCTTTTGATCTCAAGGGGCTTCACCTGGTTAAATAAAGGCTACACACAAACAATTAACAAGTCCTCAGTATTAACAACCAAATAGTTGGAGTTCTTGTAAGATAATTATGTTATTACTAATATTATCATATTTTTGTTTGTTTTGTTAAATAGTTCTGTTATCCAGCTTCGGAAAACCAACATATGTGGTGTTGTCTAGAAATAGAAACCAAATCTGACATAAGGTTGACTTTATTATGACGTCGATGAATCTCATGGTGTATTCAGCCATTTAACTCATGGTTAAAATGCTAACATAAATACGTTTTAATAATGACGTCCCCGTGTTTCTGTTTCTTTTGACTTTTAATCAAAAGAAACAGAAACACTGTGACGTCATTATTAAAACGTCCAACTATTTGGTTGTTAATACTGAGGACTTGTTATTATAATAATTATTGTTTCATTTTAAATGTTTTATTATAAAAAATGTCATTTATTTATTTTGTGTTTTGTATTGCATTAATAATATATGAACTTTAAACCCCCTGATAAAAGTGTTTTTCATAAAGCAAATAACAACTATTCAACAACAACAACAATACAACTGACGATACTAGTAATATTAGTCTTATAATTCAACATAAAGGCTTCCGTTTTAAAATAATAATATTCCTCTGCGTCTGGACCGTCGAGCAGCGAGTGTTGCTCTACTTTCTGTCTTTGTAAACACGGTTCGCCCCGCCAGCCGGAGCATGGTACACGAGACTCAACCCCGGTGGAGGAGTACTACACCAATGGGTTGTACTCCAGCAGCAGGACTGGGGGAGGAGGTGCGCGCGTGCATGGTGTGTGCATGCGCGCGCGTGTGTGTGTGTGGCGCGGGGAGGGTGAGCAGTTGAAAGCGCCGTCCAACACGTGAGGCTCATGTGACGGTGTGGAGTGTGTGTCTCCAGCCCAGAGACGTGCCTGCAGTCACAGGGTTTATTTAACACGTAGTCAGAACCCACCCTCTCTCCTCTCACACATCCAGCCGGGCGTGGAGCTTCCCCAGACACACATCTACAGTCCGGACCTCAGGGTGACAACACTGCCCAACTCCCGGGATATCAGGACATTATACTTTTGCCTTTATTTGGGGGTTTTTTCTATGATTTTTGGTCGCGACTGCAGACACATTTGGAGCGTTTTGAAGGCTTTTCAAAAGTCATTTCTTCGGGTTTCATACTTTTAGCAATATGGAGAGGATTACCAGCGCGCAACCGCCTCCCTGTGTGCCAAAACACCCATCAATGGATATAGCTGACATGCAAGGGTAAGAGGAATATTTCAATGTTATTCAGTTATTTTCCACTTTTTATCCTGACAAATAAAAAAACTAAAGACTGACTATTTGTATCTTGTCTCCAAAGAATCGAGTTTCCCATCTACGTGTACAAACCCAGGAGGGGAATGAAGCGTGTGGATGAGAACAAGGTAAATAAAAGTCAAAATGCATGAAGATTCTTGCCTTTATCAAAAGCGCCTGGATTTCACTGACAACATTTGACCCTTTTTGCAGGAGACATACAAGTTGCCCCACCGACTCATCGAGAAGAAACGACGTGACAGAATCAACGAATGCATCGCCCAGCTGAAGGATTTGTTGCCAGAACATCTTAAGCTTACAGTGAGTATTATCTTCTACATATGGCATGTTTGCTAACAGCCCGGGAATCTGATACGCCAAATATTTCTTCTGCTCAGCACTTTATTTTCTCCAGCCTCTGTTCAGTTTAGGAGTCCTAAAAAAGATCAAAGTTTAGCCTTTTAATAGGATCAATATATATTATATTTATAACAGTAATTTTATATATTTTATTATCTATCAATTCAAGGTTTTTTTTTTTTTTTTTTACATTTTTGCGTGCGTAGATTGCATGATTTCCCGGTTTCTGGATGCTTGTCCTCTGTTCAGCTGCAGAATGTGTTACATAAGAAAGATCAACATGCTTATCGAAGGTCTTCCTGTTTTAGACGCTGGGTCATTTGGAGAAAGCTGTGGTGCTGGAGCTCACTCTGAAGCATGTGAAATCCCTGAGTGGCCTCCTGGATCAGCAGCAGCAGAAAATCATTGCCCTGCAGAACGACCTGCAAATCAGTAAGTTTGATGGCATGATGTTGTGTGTACGTAAATAACACAACAGATGTTATTCATTAACCAGACGGCTCTGTTGCATCAATCAGAAGTGCTTCCAGGAAAGATTATTTGTAACCTCCTGGTTCTCTTCACTCAGGCGATCATGGAGGCGACAGTGCGGAGAACAGCGAGGAGATGTTCCGATCCGGATTCCACTTGTGCGCAAAAGAGGTCCTCCACTATCTGGCCAGCCAAGAAAGCAGCAGGGACTTGACTCCTTCCCATGTCATCAGCCACATCCAAAAGGTAGCAGCCGAGGTCCTGCACCATCAGAGCAGCCTTCACCCGGAGGAGTCCATCCCTCAAGCTTCGGAGAAACAGAAGAAACCCGCCGGGGAGCCCCAGAGGGCGTCTGAGGGCTCAGCGAAGAACTGCGTACCCGTCATTCAAAGGACTTACCCCCATGTGACGGGGGAGCAGAGCGGCAGTGACACAGACACTGACAGCGGCTATGGGGGGGAACATGAAAAGCGTGACCCCAAAGCCCAGTGGTCAGAGAGCCACGCCAAGGAGGGGGGGCGCAAGCATGTCTCATCCGAGGCGACCTCTGGTGCCATAAAGCAGGAAGGTGACGAGCCACGTGCCAAGAGGTCGAGGTCAGACTCCTCAGAGGACGAGGTGCTCTCCGGTCACATGGCAGGAGGCCCCGGCAGCTACATGAGCTTCCCCCCCAACCAGCCCCCCTTTTGTCTCCCCTTCTACCTCATCCCCCCTGCAGCGGCAGCAGCGGCCTATCTGCCCATGCTGGAGAAGTGCTGGTACCCCGGGGGCATGCCCATTATGTACCCGGGCATGAGCGGTTCTCCGGGGAGCTTGACCCAAGAAATGTCCTCTCACGGGAGGGCAGGATCTCCGGTATCCTACCAGGACTCCCCCACTCTTCACAAAGCTTTAAAGCAGGTCTCTCCATTGAACTTGGAAACCAAAGACTGAACTGATCTGTGTTCCTGTTGGAATCTTACCCTCTGAATGTTGAAGGGGTTTAATGGTTGGCCAATTGAGAAAAGGCCAACAAACGCACTGGTATCCCTTCAAACCCACAGCCGATGTTTGTCAGAACATTTACCCCAGAATCCGAATGGTCTCCAGGACTTTTAGGGGCAACGTGAAGACTCGTAGATCCCCTGTAAACACTGTGAAGATGATCAGTTTAAAGACACGAGTGCGCACCATTTTTTGTACGGTTCGTCTACTACGCACTCGGTGTTGAATGTCCGAGGTAAACACAGAATGTAAGGCACAGAAAAGGCCCCGCAAGATTATTTGGACCTTCTTGTTTTTGCACAGACACCACTCTGTAATGAATGTAAAAGATTGAACAACAAGCCCCATGTAGATGCTGCTTGAATTATCGTAGAGGATCTACCTTCAGTGTTTGTCGCTCCTGTAACTTGCTACAAACCACTGATTAGACTAGAATGTTACCAAAAAAAAACATTGTTGAGAGGCGTCACAAAAGACTTCTTTTAGACCCTTCAGATCCCTTGCAGCTAAATGAACAGTTGGCGGTGTTCAGAGAATTCAGGGTGTTCACTGAACGAGGTGTGTCACTCATGACAAGTGATGTGGCTATGCGCGCTTTTACGATTTCATTTGTGTCTCATGACTATTTGTGCATCTAGATACAGTTCCTGTGAAGTGATGTCTTGTTTAATTATGTTTGTTTATACTACTCATACATCTCTATTTTTGATACATGACCCACTGAGTGTATTCGTATCGCCACCAGAGGATGGTTGAGGTAGAAATGTTGCTGTATGCCAAGAGAACGTGTACAGTATATAGCGTTGTGCTTAACCCGGATTTTTTGCATCTTGCCCACAAATTCCCGGTCAAGTTAAGGCCTGATTTTTAGCTAAAGCTGTTGCCTTTGTGTGACGCAGACACGACGACAGCAGGCGTTAAAATGTTTCTTTGCTTTAAATGTTGTGTCTGTGGCAGAGAGTGAATGTAACGCTCAAACAAAAATAATAGTTTTGTATAGAAAGAGGTACTTGGGATTTAAATGTTGACATGTAACAAAAGGATGTTTTGTTGTACATATTTTGTATATAAAGTATTATTGATATATATATTAAAATATTAATAAAGCTTTTTTTCTCCCTGAGGAATTTGTGTTTCACTGCCTGCTGCTGAAACGTGTTGCAACCAGACAACATGACAACTCGTCATAACACATACTGTACTTACATAACACTTAACCCATAAAGCAGCGCGGCCTCTGTAAATCAATAGCATGGCTTAGATTACGGGCTGTAAATCATTCCGAATAAATATTTGTATCGGTGTTATTACATATTTTACATTTATAACTATTTAATATTTATTATTTTATTTATTATAAGTGCAATCTTTAGCTAATCGCAGTTCGTTTTAGTGATATTTAGCTTACTAAAAATCAAAATCAACTATTAGTTTCAGAACTGGAGATAATAACTTTTTTGTTTCGTGTAAAAATCTACAATTTCTCTCTCACATACCGTTTACATAGTGTTTATACAATATGGCAGCAATTGTAACACTAGTGAAAGAGTGCTGAGTAGGAGCAAAACATGTCTGGCAACTTGACACCAAACTGGATGGAAATGGTATTTGAGGTTTTAGACTAAATGTATTTGATCTACTTTCATTTTTAATAATATGGAATTCCCGTCCCTACCACCTTCAGCTGCTTCTGTTGGCTACTGTTTCCTTCTGTAATTTTAAAAATGATAAATAACTATATCATATGCTCACCTCCTGCCTCTCTGGGAAATGTGGAAATTACTCTTTTCCTTTTCTTGTAATCACAACAGTGTTTGGAATCTGCTCCACGGATCAGTGAAATATGTTCAGCACAGTACAGAGATGTTCTCTTCAAAGGCCTGCTCATGTGCTCAAAAATGCAGTAGCAGCGCCATCTAGTGGCAGGTGTGCTTCTTACTGCAGTGGCTACATTATTCACACGTTATAAATCTCTGATAGACAACATCAAGGAGCCTTTAGGAACCCCAATTGAAAGTATATCAGTAAAAAGTAGAAGTATATAACTGCCTGTCTACTTGCTTTTTGTTTTATCCTATGTACTAGGAAGTATTAAAAGCCGCTCTTATCAATATGTTTATGACTTATTTGTGCCCAAAGAATATGATAAGTAAAAATGCAACAAAATGTTTTCTGATTGGTGTTTAGTCTTGAATTCTGTTACATTTGTTGGGCAAGTATCTAACAGTTCAGCCTTTAGAGCACATTTTGAAAAACATAGAGAAAAGAACTCGCATTGTCCTGTTTTCACACTCCATGGACTTTCTGAGATTCAGCCATTTTCTTATCATACTTTGTTCTTGGGGTAGCCTAAATATGAGTCGGTTTTTTCTCCTAAAATATAATGAATTATAGAAAAAAAAAGTCAAATGTGCCCAAAGATAGTTTGATTATTAAAACTAACTTTCAAACGGATAAACCAAATTTGACCTTGTTCGGATTTGTGCTTGGAGAAAAATAGATAACACATCCAACAATTCAATTAAAAATGTCAGTTCCTTTCACAAATGGGATGACAAGTCGTGCAACCTTAAAGCTAATTCTCTAAACATTGAGCAAAAATATCTAGCAATCAGAGTCTTGCCACCCGAAGAAGCTGTCAATGCAGAGTCCGTGGACTGCTTCTGGCAAATATTAAAAGACAATAAGAGGGGATTACCGATCCCCCACTGAACGTGAAACCTCTGGGTTCTGCTGAGTTCGTTCTTAGCAGCAAACTTCAAAAAGACAACATTAGCAACAAGCTAGTTAACAGACTGGAGCTTAAGAAGTAAGTCAAATTATATTTCGGGGAAGGAAAATATGGATAAACATTCAGCAATTATAACAAGTCCTTGTTTAAATTGCTGAAGTAAGATAACCCTAATGCTAATGTTAGTTTTATCACCCAGATGTTTAAATGAACAACCCATACAGTGAGTATGAGTAAAACATGACACTGTTGTGTTTACAGCTTGTTTCTGCTGCCCCCTAGTGGCCAAACTAAATTGGGTGTGAGTTTATAATCCCACAGGAGCATAAAGATAGCGGACACAATTTGAGGCAGATACATCTATAGAAAAGCCTAAATAGCTTACCAAGAGGCGGTGCACTAACATTTAGGAAAGTAAGAAGTCTATTGCTAAAGCAAACAACGTTTAAAAGTGCTTAAAAGAACCGGATACAAGAATAATAGAAACATACATACAGTTTAACTGTTACGAGCTGCTATAGAGAAGGGTTTCGATAATCTACAGAAAATGAAGGCAGTATATGGATGCAAGAGTTAAGAAATGCATGAATGGACATCATTTACTTTTATGTATGCACCATGACACCAAGTCAAATTCCTCGTATGTGTCAACAACCTGTTTCTGATTCTGATCATTGTATATGAAAAAACAGTATATGAAATATGTTCTGCACTCAATTGGGAGTCAATGAAGAGATGGGAGAATTTGTGTGATGAGGGATCTATAGATGGTGTTAATTAAGCTTAATGTATCCCTATTTGAAATGAATCTTTATTCACATTGTTTGTTTTCTGTCATTCCCAATCCTATCTCAATGTATCCCTATTTGTTATCCAGCCGGTGCAGTGCCAGTGTGTCTGGAGCCTCGATGGGGAAACCCTGATGACTTCTGCAGAAAACACTGACACCAGTGTGGAAGAGGCAGCCAGAAAGCCTGTCATGAGATAAACTAACTTCAAAGAATCACAGGAATGAATGACCTTGTTATTGAGATGCTGCTGATAAGAGTCAACTTTGAAATTGGTGTCACAAAGGACTCACTGGCTGCTGATGACGTGGAGATGAAGTGAGAATATGTCCTCCATGGATATTGAAGCTGAGAACAGACTGGGCTCTGTGGACGAGGCGGTGCGGAGAATCAGCATGTCTGAGAATCTAATTTCTTATGAGGCTCAAAATATTAAGTATGTGCTCATCATAGAACTGGATGTCTTTAGAGAGAGATGAAAAGACTCCATTCATCTGGCCTCGTGGAGGGCTAAAGGGTCAAGAAGCTGAACAACAACAACAACAAGACTATGTGTTAATGCAACTGGTGTTAACTTAAAATAGAGCTGTTTTATTAAGAACAATTTATCAACTACTTAAAAAAAGCAATACAACTAGTTGGGGTTTACACAATTGCTGATTTTACATATTTTTTACGTTATCCAAAACAGAAAATCATACCAGAAGGCTGCATGCTTATCAGGTTTAATCAATGGAGTACTTTAATGCATTTTTGATAAAGGTTGTTATTTTAAGCTAAAGGTAAAATAACAACCTTTTGTCCTAAATGTAGATCTGAAAAAAAAACATATATATTGTGGCTATAAGTATTACATTAATTCATCTTTAATAGCAATAGCAACAATACAACATTTTATTTGACATGCAAAGTGAGTGAAAGAATGGATTATGATACACATTCATGACTTTTTGGAGAAAAAAACCCTATCAGTCCTGGCATCACATGATATTTTCAGTGAATGTGTGTGTGTGTGTTTCTGTTTGTGTGTGTGTGTGGGGGGGGGTGTCTCTGCAACCCTTGGTCAGGGTCCTTTGTCGTGCAGTTGTGACGCGCCGAGTCGCGCTATTGGACTATCAGGGAGTGAGACTGTGTTGGTCTCTGTGTGTGTGTGTGTGTGTGTGTGTGTGTGTGTGTGTGTGTGTGTGTGTGTGTGTGTGTGTGTGTGTGTGTGTGTGTGTGTGTGTGTGTGTGTGTGTGTGTGTGTCCTCCAGCAGCAGCTGCACACTAAGGTCTTCTAGGATCAAATAACTTTATCAACAGCTTACAATGACTTGTATTGAAAACTGTTCTAGAAGTAGTTTTGATTGTAGCTTTGAAACCACCTCTCTTCATCCTGAGGAGATCTGTGACACCAACACATAAGTGAAGGGATATACTTTATAATAGTGCATTTCCCCTGATGCAGTGTGTCCCCCTCCCCCTGCTCTAACTTGGCCCCTCCCACAAGGCTTCATCAGGTGAGCTGCTCCCCACAGGTGTAAGGGGGCGTGGCCTGGTGGCACAAAGGGAGAGGGATTGTTTGGGGAAGGATGTTTGTTTGATTGGGTTTGGTGAGGAAAGACAGAGGAGTAAGAGCTGCTGACGGCCATGTGAAACCAGTGGATTCTGAGGACCATGAGGATTGAGCAGAGTATGTTTTACCTTCTTACCTGGGGGTGAGTTTTTACCTTTTGGATGTTTTTCTTTTTTACCAAGCATTGCTTTTCCCTGGATTATATTTTCGCTTTTTTGAAGGACATTGGATTATTTTCTTGGATCATTCAGTTGGATTATTCTTGTGGACAATCAAGTGGACATTTCTCCAGTTTTTCCAGAGTTCTTCTCACCAAATAAATGGTCCTTTAATTGCCATAACATCTCCTTCTAGTGTTTTCTCAACTGTTAACTTGGCTTGAAGGTAAGGCTGAGTGTTGAAACCTTTACATTAACACTAATTAATTACAGGTTCAATGCATAATTGTCAAAACATCTCTGGTACTTTCTTTAGTTTCACTGTGGGTGGTGTTGGGTAACTTGGTAACCAAGCTAACGGGCAAGGAATGAGTGTCATACAAGCCTGATGCAGTCACAATAGAACATGTGTCCCTTCTAATTTAAGCTATACCTATGTGTGCTATTGCTGATAATAGCAAGCTGAACACATGTAGGCCTCCTGTCAGCTGGGTGTGAACAACAGAAGGAGATAAGGCCATCTCTCTTTCCATACTGCTAGCCAAACTGCTGCTACAACTCTTAGATCTGAAATGTTTCTAATGTTTAATGTGAGCCTGAAGAAATTAGGGGTTAGGGGAAATGTTTTCCATCGTAAAAGGAGTTGTTTGTCTGAAATGTAGAGTGAATATTTCACAGTCCAGAGGGTTAATATTCTGAAAGCCATGTTACTTGTGTGATAGGCTATGTAACTTGTCCTCTGTTTGTGTTGCTGCTAATGTTAATGTGTTTTGGCTGTATTTGTTAACACTCAAAGTTTACCCAGAGTTTAAGGCCCACACGATGACCTTAAAGCAGTGTACTATAATAAAAGGCAGATATTCCTAAAAATGTGTTTGACTTTTTTCCTTTACATTTTGAAAAAGCTATAATTGTGAAGAATAGTTTGTTCAAATATGTCATACAGTAAAAACTGTTTGTTATAACTCATTGTTATAGCCTTAACTACCCAGCAGGTAAATTAACTTCACGTTGACCAACACTACTGCTCACATGGTAATGCATTAATAATAGTGATCAACTAATATAACAGTGAAAGTGATCATTCTGTAAATAATAATAAGCCTCCTGTTGATACTTTTGGTACAATGTGTTGCTTTTGTCTTTGCAGTACCAGGGGGAAGGGGTGAAGCATTGACTTGTCATTCTATTTTTGTTTTACACAATAGTGCAAATTAATATTAACTTCCCTAAAACAATAACTATTTGTTTTCTTCCTTAAAATACAATTACTTAACTAATGCTTTGAGATAAATATGTTTTTTTTTGTATTAGAGTAAGTCATTCTTTCCCAGGGATATGAACTCCTTGTGTATTAAATATGTTGGTACCACTTTACAATAAGACTACCCTTACATAGTTTTCATGCATCAACACAGGCTCACTATTTGGCAAGAGGACTCAGCCTTATATTGGCTACTTAGCGAGAATCAACTCAGTGAGCAACAGATAATGATGCTGGCTGATGAAGAAGACGAAGTAAACTAGTAGCCAATATAAGACTAAGCAGTACAGATAAATGTGGGCTCACTATTTGGCAAGCAACCGCTCACAGTTGCCCTGTTTATCTCATGTCTTGTAAAAGCTTATTAATGATTTATAAAGTGTTCACAGCCTAATTAAAATATTGGTACCATTACAAAGTGGTACCAATATGTTTGTTGGATAAAGGTGAGTATATCTGTGCAGTTTAATTGATTAAATACAAAAAACGACATTATACAGTATCCAATGCATTGCACCAGCATTTTCCTCAACTGCTAATTCCTTAAACCTGTAATACAGTCAAATCCATTGCTCACATAAGCTACACTTTTGTGTGAACTGTAGGATTATGACCTGATCATGAGCTTTTATAATAACAACAATAATACGCTTTATTTGTATAGCACCTTTCATACAAGAATTGCAGTCCAAAGTGCTTCACAGCAGAGAATTGTAAAATAGTCACAGAAAATTTATATCACATAGAATACAGTTACCAGTGGATACATAAAAATAGTGTAGTCTAGATAGCATAGATAGAATGTAAAATAGATTACATCTAAATTAAAATCTTAAATGTGTAATTAACGATAATAGATAACACTGATCGAAATCTCCTTCTTTTTCGAGCCTGCTACCTGCAATTCCCCTCTGTAGTGTACATATTGATCAGCTTTTATTCTGAAACCCTCCGATGGGAAGTCTCGTTCTTTTTCCTTACCTGCGCCTTAACTGCGCTTTAATTTTGAAAACCTCGTGTCGGAAGTGCCCCTCTGGTTCTCGGCTGCAGTAACAGTACAGTATACAGTACAGTCTTGGCTGTAAACCCAGTGGTATATCATTACTCAGTACCAGCTGGGGCTCGGACTGCTCCTCGGCTCTGCTCCTCGGCTCTGACCCGTCATGAAGCTCCGGGCTGCGGGGCTGCTGCTGCTCGGACTCCTCTCCTCCTGCCGGGGGGAGTTCAGCCCGGTCACAGTGAACATCAGCCTGGACGAAGACCCCGAGCTGCGGTGGGCTCCTATCACCAAAGCCTTCGACGTAGAGTACTTGAAGAAAGCCGCCGCGGAAATCATTGAGTACGTTTTCAAGAGCTTCCTTTTTTTGCATAGCTTGTTGTGTAATATTTTCAAAAGTATATTAGAAGTTTTATTTCTAGAAAGTACTTATTCAGGTGTTGCAGCACACAGTCATGAGTAGTGAGTAGGTAATGTTTTTCAGTTGTTGTTCATAAAAAGGCTTAGTAATAATAGTATTGTTAGCGTCAAATTATACTTTGTATACTAAAGAGCCACAACATGCATGGTTTCACTTTCTATTAACGTCACATGATCAGTGGAGGTACACACAAAGGAGGCTTAATTGTTTTATTATAAATAAGTTGCATACAAATAGTTGCGTTATAAAACCAACATACCTATGGCCTTAACCTTGCTTTTTTAAAGTCTAAATACATTAGCCTAAATTACTTTTATTATTATCATGCTTCACTTTATTAAAATTGTACTGAATAAATATTATTTTGTAATTTTTAGTATCTATCTATATATCTATCTTGTCCTACATTTGATTCACTGACAGTAGCTTGTTTGCAGAAAACTCAATAAAAAGGAAGTTACTTAATACCAGCAGTAAACTACCCTCTGAGTTAATGGTTACTGTGTTATTGTGTATTTCCAGTCTCAGTGCTAACACAGACAGGCTTTCTTGTTTTTTGTTGCAGCACTACGGTTCCTAATGGGTGCATGAGGCAGTCACCCCGATCGTGATGGCCCTGGAGAAGTACGTTCCTCAGCCTTACGCGGGGGAGATCAGAGGCATGGCCGCTCACATGGGGGGCAGCATCTCAGACGTCATCATTCTCAACTTCGCCTATGAAATATCTGCGTATGTAAATGACACATTTATTATAGACAATGTCTGCAGGATTAAGGTCATTTCTCAACAAGCTTTATGCATTTCTTTAGATTTTGCACTAGCATCGTGGCTCAGGACACAAATGGGACTGTGTACCACGGCAGGAACCTTGACTATCCACATGATGTTCTGAGGAACCTCACTATGGACGTCATTTTCCACAAGAACGGAAAGGTACAGTATGTCTTCCTAGCATTTAAGAACTCTAGTGCCTCTTCAAGCTATACCTCAGAAATGGCTGAGAATCATTAATCAGGAAATACATTCAAACTGAATAAAAGTCCTTGCTTAACGATGTGGCGATGGATACTGATATGTCGTTTTATTCGCAATCAAACAGGTGGCGTACCGTGGAACTTCATTTGCTGGCTACGTTGGCCTGTGGACGGGACAGAGTCCTAACAAGTTTACAGTCTCTGGTGACCAGCGAGGTAACACCATGAGGGCTCCAACCAACGATTATTTTACTTTCAATTTAATCATATTTCTTAGATGAATTGATTTTGGCTAATTCTTTAGTCTATCAAATATCAGAAAATAGAGAAAACAATTCCATCCAAGTTTTTTTACGTCCAAGGTGATATATGCAGATGTTTTTTCTTGTTGTCCAAAACCCAGGAATATGAAGTTTATTATGATGTATAACAGAAAAAGCATTACATTGGCATACATTTGATGCTGAAAATAGGATTTTCTGCAATCTTTTCATGAATAATAACTTCATTGATCATTACAATAGTTATTACTGATTATTTTATAAATGTTGATGGATCATTGCAGCAATTCAGACCACACTTAATTTGAGCAGTTGTGTCCAGAAATAGTGCAACATTCAGACTTTATTGTCTCTGTGTGTTCATGTCTGTGTGTTTGTGCTCATCAGGCAGTGACCACTGGTGGAACTGGTGGAAGAATGTGGTTTCTGCTTTCCTCTTTCGGCGGACCCCGGTCAGCTGGCTGGTACGCGAGGTGAGTGTGTATGAAAGTCAGCGTGAAGAGGAAGTTTACTGTACGAGGAAGTGAAACTGAGCGGCTGTGTCACCTACAGACGCTGGAGGAAGCAGAGGACTTTCAGGATGCCGTGATGCGTCTCGCCAAGATTCCCATCATCACCGGGGTGTACTACATCGTGGGGGGGGTGCGAGCTGGGGAGGGGGCCGTCATCACCAGGGACCGAAGCGGCCCTGCTGATATCTGGCCGCTGATTCCCATCAATGGAGGGTAGGCAAAATAAAGGATCTGAGGAGAGTCTGGTACATTAAGGTCCATCCCAATGTCCCTCCTTTACTCAAACACTTGAAACCAATCAGGAGTTGATAAAGGACACTGAATGTCAAACAGTGCATTCGTGTAGAGGCCATCCTGGCTCCAAAATGGTGAAACAAGCTCACTATCCATATCAGAAAAGCTAAATATATTTTGTCACAAAAACCACCTGTATCACCTGTGCCTTAGCCATTAAATAATAAAAAATAATAATTAGCATTTCACGAGTTTAGCCCGTTTGAAACTAATGCACCAGCACTTACGATTGTTTTGCTTATTTGAAGCAAACACATCTGCATTTTTCTAAGTTCGTGTCTTTATGGTGTATTGTACCTACTGTATGTAGTTTTGGATTACAGCATCAGCCAAATGAATTGATAACTTCACTAAAGGACGTTGAGGTGTGCATGTGGTGTGTGCCTGAATAATAAAATGTCTTGTTCCTGTTTCAGATGGTACAGAGTGGAGACGAACTTTGACCACTGGCTTCCTCCTCCAGCCAGGGATCATCGGAGGTGAGTCATCTCGCATGATTCACAATATTGTTGCTGTAACCGTATCTAATCTGCTGTTGTCATTTTTGTAGGGACGCAGCCAAGAAAGCACTAAATGCTACTGGCCAAGATCACATCAACATGGAGACACTTTATCAGGCAAGCATGGACAAATACATATTTGAGGCTGAAGTACACGTGATACTGACAGATTGAACCCAATGTATGGATTTCTGACAGAGTCTTGTCCTCCAGGTGCTGTCGATGTATCCTGTGTGTAATGGGTAAGGAGATCACTGTCTGTTCCTTCTCACTGTCTCAAGGAATCACATGACTGCTGCTGAGATGGCCAGCTGTGTGCATACCAGCCCCCTTCAGCCCATCTCAGCAATAATGTAGGCAATAGGCCTTTGTTTGACATGCTTCAGCAAATAGGAAGTAGCATATGGAATAGCAATAGCTACATTTAAATGGAAATATTGAAGGTTAAAGAAGGATTGCACTATTTACAGTACCGTATCGCAATCCATAATTTGTTTGCAACAGTTAAAAGATCAGTATCACAAAAAAAGGTACTTTATTATGTAACGATTATCCTTTTTTTTATTGGTAGATAAAGATTTGATTTGTTCAAATTGTTATCGTCATTATTGTGATTATTTTTTGCTGTTATTTAGCAGCATTTTTAAGCAGGGTAAACGCAGAATGGCGTACACTTTTCTCTTACGGAAAGTAATGTTTTCGCTTTTCATGAATAGGAATGACACATTTTCCGAATATTGTGCAGCCCTAATTTTGATTACATATGTTATTATTTATAGTTTTATTTTTAAAGAATCGTTCACACAGCTTGTTTTTACATTTTCTTACAGTGTGTTTGATTTTGTCATCGACTATTTTTAAATCCCCAGAATGGAAAACCTTTTTTACAATTTTTTATTTTTATTCAAAAATCAATTTGTTGCAATTTAGAAGTTTATTTAAAGGTGGGGTTGGTAATTTTGGAGAAACCAGCTCGAGTGCGCTAGAATTTGAAAATACACAGCCAGAAACAATCTGCCACTTCCTTCAGACTTCCTCACAGAGCCCCTCCTCCAACACACAGGAACACATGACCAATGAGGGTACGAGGTAAGTTTGTGCCCCGATGGAAGGCTGACAGGCAGGTAGGCCATCCAGTTACTTTAGCCGGGCCGGCTCAGATGATTGGTCGTGCTTTTTACAGCGCTACGGCTTCCACAGATGATATTTTTGTATGGATTTATTGTCGAAGCACTTTAGATATTCATTGCTATCAGGATGTTAAGAGCATTCCATGGAATATAACAAAACATGTATCTCGAGCCGGTTTCTCAAACTTACCTACCCCACCTTTAATGTTTAAGCACTTTAAAAAAAGTTAATTTATGAATAGTAATATTGTTATCTCTCTTTATTATTAAACAGTTTTCTGCAGATCTTCCTCATATCGATTACATACATTATTATTTATGGTTTCATTTTTGAATGATCTTTTACACAGTTTGTTTTTATAATTCATGCACTGTGTTTGATTGTATCCCCAGAATTACTGTCTACACGACTATAATGAGTGCAGCAGCCCCCGAGAAATACAATACACTCGTCAGACCACAGGTAATTACATGTTACTTATTAAATGCATATATTGTTTGTATAATATATAATAATAATAATAAGCAATGAACGGGTGATATGTCACTCGTAATTACTCTTTTTCACCCATGTGATCCCTCACTCTCTTTCAAGGGCTGCCCCCCCCCACCTGACTGTGAGCCTCGCTGTCTAAATGCAGATTAAATCAAAAGAATGATCATGTGATGATTCTAAAATCTTTTTTAACCACTTTTAATTTTTTAACCCTGACTAATAAAATAACAAATGTGAAAGAACCTAATGTCGCTGCGATTTATATGTAAAGTTTAAAAGCACTTTGGTCACTTTAGTGATTGGGACCACTTGAAGATAGCCACAGCGGCACTTTGCTCATACAGCACGAGTTAAATAAACAACGGTGGAAAAGCACTTGTACCTGGACCGTGGTGCTTTCCAGTTCCATGATAACTGTGCCTCTTTTGATTTGTGCCTTTCAAATAAACCACGTCTCTAGCCTTGTGTGAGTTTTTCTTGGTCCATCATGGTTCACATTTGTCTCTTTGTTTAAATCGTTCAGATCATACACCGATTTGTGTGTTGAGGGAACTTTGGGATTTCAGCCTTTGCAGACCATTTACATGCATAAAAACATAACATACTACAGGAAAGGAAAACCCCCAAAAAGCATATTAGGGCGTCTTATAGGCTTATCGTTTAGACTTTTGTGTAGTGTTTGGCTCAGGATAAAAATGACAGTCGTTTAAAATAAATCCAACTGTGCAAATCATAAAAAGGTAAAAAGGAGGATGATCAACAGGTGCATTATTTTGTCCTTGAGTAATCCCTTATTGGGTTTGAGTTGTGGAAAAGATACATTGATAATATTCTCGTCATATTTGGAGGAAATATAGAAGAGGCAACTGACCTTTCTTTTCTTTCAATTTACTCAATTGTTTTTTGATAACTTTGGTTTTGTTATATTGGACAAAAGCATTATAAAGATGCCTCCTTGAACTCCAAACAATTCTCACTGTATGTTTATTTTTACAAAACAAATACATTTCCCGCATTATACAAAGGCATACATTAGCCTACAAACTTTAATGCAGGACCATTATCCGTAAGCGTGTTTAGAGCAGGGTATTAGTAATTTTACGAAGATAAATAATCTCAATACTTTCTCCAGCTCTGATTGGATGGCACTTGACATTGGCAGCTCCCACCTTTGGATCCATTATCCAATAGATTTAAAACCCTGCTCAACCATTTATCCAATAAAGACTGCTCACCTGTTCTATGTTGCCTATATATGTGGTTGCCTTTTGTCTTTAGAGATGGAGACACATCAGTGTTGAAACGTTAGTCTGTTTTAAGTTGAATGTTTGCTGATATTAAATGAGGAACTTGAAGATGTGCGGAGAATCCTGAATTATCCAACAGAGAAGGTCAGCGACGGTCTAAAAACACACACTTGTCCTCACAAAGGTTAAGTTATTGTCAGTGTGTAATTTAGTGAAGTACATTTACTCAAGTACTGTACTTTAGTTCAATTTGGGAGTACTTAAGTATTTCCATTTTACGGTAATTTATGCTTTTACTCAACTGCATTTTGGAATATTGTAATTTTTACTCTACTACATTTGTTAGACAACATTGGTGACTAGTTACTTTACAGATTTAGATTACTAGCTAATACCAAATATAAATAAACTAATTATAGGTTTAAAAAATCCATCACTTCTTTTACCAGCGGTGTTGACGACATTTATGCTTCAATAGTAATAATCAGGTAATTAAAAATACCAGAATCTCAAAAGGGCTCTTACTTTTGTCACTTTAAGTGTGTTATTATGCTAATACTTTTGTACTTTCACTGTAAAATGTTGAATGCATGACTTTTATTTGTAACAGATTCATTTTATACAGTAGTATTTCTACTTTTATTAGCCGAGTACTTCTTCCAACACTGGTTTGTCTACAAAATAGTTCCGCTTTCATTGCGCGCTCCCGTGAGCTCCGTGCACTCCTCAGCAACACTTGGATCACATGACATGACAAAGCAGCAGCAGCTACTTCCTGTGTGCACTGCTAGCCAATTTCACATCCAGACGGTCACTGCGACTAATACCGTGAGAAACCAACATGCTGGCTATGATAAACAGGCTCCTGGACTGGTTCCGCGCGATCTTCTGGAAAGAGGAGATGGAGCTCACGCTCGTGGGACTTCAGTACTCCGGGAAAACTACCTTCGTCAACGTGATAGCGGTAAGACTGTCGGTGTGGGCCCAGACTAGCACCTTACCTGGGAGAAGTTGTCTTTAAATGTGTTAAAATGTTCAAAAAGTGCATGCCTGCATTACTAAGTAGTGTTTGTGTCTTTAACATATAATTATCTATGGTTTGGCTTTATAGTTGTTTTGGTTAGAGTGACGGAGTTGTTGGTATGACTGCGCATACAAGTATGAAGCGGTCATGTGATCGAGGTGCTGTGTAATAGCCGCCGGTGTGTCAACATCAGTGATATGACAACAGTCAACCAATGAACATGGAAACAGACTGGTCTAGTAATCTTATGTTAGGTAGGGTTAATTAAAGTGGATGAGGTCTGGAGACATAACACCAGCATGTGGCAAGCTATCTATATCATAGATTTAGGTAAATGGCTAGCTGTGGTGAAAAGTAACTAAGTCCATTTTTACTCAAGTACTGAACTTGGGTAAAATGTTGAGGTACTTGAGTATTTCAATGTTTTGCTACTTGTACCCCACTACAATTCAGAGCTAAATTGTGTACTTTTTTACTCCACTGCATTTATTTAATATCTTTAGTTACTTTTCCGATTTGGATTAAGAATGTGAAATATAATCAACCCTTAAATCAGACTTTAGTTCCACCTGGAGTAAATTCACAAGCTGCAGTATACAAAGTCATTACAACTAGCTGCACCTTTACCAGCTGTGAGAACACTTAAATGCATCATATTTCACATTATTAATCTGAATCTGCAAAGTAAATAAAGGAATGAAATACATGTAGTGGAGTAAAATACTCGATTTACCTCTGAGTTGTAGTGGGGAAGAAGTACGAAGTAGCAAAACCTAGAAATACTCAAGTAAAGTCTCTCAAAAATAGTACTTAAGTATAGTACTTGAGTAAATGTACTTAGTTACTACACCATGTAAATAGCTAGATTTGCATGGAATATGCTATTGAATGCTAAGCCTAAAGAACCTGTTTATACCTCCTCCCTTTTCAAATATTCCTCTGTTGTTGAGTCCACATTATTGGCAAGTATCAGAGCTGGCACTGTGAAACTTGTTGATACTTTAATACTTGTTTAGCCATGAGTGGTTTTGGGGTAAAGGTTGTGTTGCTTGTCTGGTGATAGAGCACACTGTATTATTGGAAAGTCACGGTGTAGGCCTCAGTGCTGTAATAGGCTCCCTTTTCCTGGATTCCTCTCAAGAATACAAACTTGTTCCGGGCCCTTTGTGGTCATGTCAGGTGATCTGAGATCAGCTTTAAACAAAACTGCTTTCGGCTTTACTTTCAAGACTGTTGGACTGGGCCCGGACTCGATATCAGCCAAGCAAACAAGGCTATAGAAGTCATCTGGGATATTTGAATGTCTATATGTATTAGAGTTGGGTTTTAGGATAATGCTAGTTTATGGCATTTAACAAAGCACTGGATGGTTACAGGAAGCTTGTATGCTGATCAAAATGCCATCATCTTATCATGAGTCATGGAGCTCAGGACCAAGTGTTGAAATATCAAGCAGCTAAAAATGACCTGTGTAATCAAATCATTTCCTGTTAAAGGATTCGCTAGGCTTTTCATGTGACTCTCTAAAGCTTAAAGCATACTGGCATGTGTTTTTATTTGTTGATGCAGAGATGGTTGACATTAAAAAGCACTAAGACTGAAAAGAGACTATGAATGCTTCTATTTTCAACACGAAGCATTTCAGTTGCGAGTTGCAGCAGTATTCACTAACCTGAACTTTCTCTTTCTTTCTTTTTCTGCAGTCAGGGCAGTTCAGCGAAGACATGATTCCCACAGTCGGTTTCAACATGCGGAAGGTCACTAAAGGCAATGTGACGATAAAGGTAGGCTAACGAGCACATGTCCAGCTGAATTCCTATGTTACACAGTGTAGAGCTCTATGGTTTGCACCTTGGAACAATATGACTGGTTCATATATGAAACAAATGTTGCGGAGACCTTGGTCTTCTGACTGTGTGTGTGTGTTGTTTTCCCCCGCAGATATGGGACATAGGGGGCCAGCCTCGCTTCAGAAGCATGTGGGAGCGCTACTGTAGAGGAGTCAATGCTATTGTGTAAGTTTGTGGACACTACAAAGTGCAGCAGGTGGCCTTTGGGACCGCACGTATTCAGTTTGGCTTCCTGAACTTACTGGTATTCTGAAAAACTGAACTGAAATTGTACATCCAATGAGAAACAATTGTTATTTGTATATGGTAATATTTAGCTTAGTCTCTCTCTCCCCATATGATAGAGTGGTGCTGGGATGAGTCCTAAACCCAGAAATGAGTATTTCTGCACTTCCTGGTTCCCTCGTCTCGAAGTCAATGTTTTTGAATGAGTTTTTGGTTTGATACCTGGACCAAGGTCTGTGGTTAACACAAGCTAAGGAGATTTCAGGGGTTTTTTAGACATAAAGATGTTACTAAACACCCCACTGGGTAACTTCTGAAGCTTATATGTGTCTTAAAAACAGCGGTTGCTTGCATATGGCTATGAGAGACTACTTTACATCAAATTAGCCGCCATTAGCTTAGCGGTGTTCATGCAAAGTCATGTTGCTTGCATGTGGCTATGAGAGACTACTTTACATCAAATTAGCCGCCATTAGCTTAGCGGTGTTAATGCAAAGTCATGTTGCATTCAAGCTTGGACTATTCTAAAAGTGGTGTTAATACATGAAGATTATCCTGCTGCACAAAACCTGTTAACTATCTTGAATGTATGTCGTCGCAGATCTTAGTTTTTACACAATATTTCAAAAATCATTGCTTTTACTTGTGGGAGCCCATGTAATGCTAACTTCAAGGTCTACACAAATACGTCATATCTGCGCCACTCTATTGTGTACAAATAAATGTTGATTTAGTAAATCAGCTATTTTAGTTTTGACCAAACTCTCTTTAAGTAGTTTCTTTCCCTCTTGCAGTTACATGGTGGACGCAGCAGACCGAGAGAAGGTAGAAGCTTCCAGAAACGAACTGCACAACCTTTTAGAGAAACCACAGCTACAAGGAATTCCTGTAAGTGGACAGTTGTCGTGACCTTACAGATTCTACTTGATTTCAGAGGGTCCAGTAACTCAGGAATCAAACCTCTACTTGGTAATGATACATGGATTGTAGTGACTCAGCCCTGATGACACACTAAGTGGTCATTTGCGCACAGTGAGGATTCTGTGATTGGTGAAACACATGGTGGAAAGAAAACCTTTCAACTGTCTGCTCACACTGAGATAATGCTGATGCATGGCT